GCAGATATCTGAGTACTCGTTTTGTAGCTATAAAGTGCTCTTGGTGGGGATGTGAACTGAACTGCGCCAATTTAGACACTGTATGAGCAATATCTGGTCTTGACACTACGGCTAAATAATTCAAGCTCCCAATTAGTGATTGATACTTTCTAATATCGCAACATGTGCAGTTTTCAATACATCATTTTTCCAACCCTGGACCTTTAGCAAATGGGGTTTCCACTCCTTTGCAATCATGCGTATTATTCGATTTAAGAAGTTCCATCATAAAATAATTCTGATGTATTCTGATTTCGCCTAACTGTCCTTCTCTTGTGATTTCCATTCCTAAATAATTTTTAATAGCACCGCGATCTACTATTTCAACACAATGTTGTAGCTGCTAGAATGTTTTCTGCATTATTTTTTCACATGAACTAGCGAGAATAATATCATCAACATATATAAATATTAAAGATATTTGTGATTCCCTAATCATTCTGTAGATACAATTATCTGTTTTGCAACGTTCAAACCCCATAGAAGTCAAAATTTTAATCTGATCATCTGAATGTACTGCCTCTTGCAAAGATTTCGGAACTTCACATACTGTATTAATGACGTCCGTTGTTTCATCGCCACTCACCTCTTTGGTGTTTTGTAAGCTTTGAATTCTATGTGCTTTAGGTCTTAATCTTTTCGAATTCCAAACTAATTCTCTAGTTTTATTACTCAGCACAGACCCATCATTGTTGCTTTCTGAATCGTCACTGCCTGCACTTTCAAACACGTTGTTTTCATATTCGATGTCTTTAAACTTATTCTCATGATTTACCGTTACATTTTCACGTTCAGCGACCAATTGATCACATTTTTTATTTTTTTCAATCATTTTGTCCAGTAATTCAAACAATTTTTCATTGTCACTGTTTTCTTCGTTAATCACGGCGTTTGATTTTTGGTTTTCAAAAAATATTACATCCCGAGCAATTACTAATTTCCGATTTTTAGGATTATGTAATCTATATCCTTTTAAATTTGACGCGTAATCGACGAATGTCATTTCTTCACCTTTAGATTCGAGCTTAGACTCTCTCTGACGTTTATTTAGTATGATAGCTTTGCAACCGAAAATTTTAAAATATTTTACACTCGGTTTTCTGTCGAACCAACATTCGTACGGAGTTTTATTATTTAGTACTTTTGTCACAGACCGATTTCTAATATAAGCAGCAGTATTAATGGCCTCTGCCCACAAATTTTTTGGTAAGACATTTGAATTCAAAAGACACCTTACCATCTCCATAAGTGTTCTATTGATACGTTCCGCAACACCATTTTGTTGAGGAGTACAACTTACTGTGGTTTCGTGCACAATACCATGTTTATTGAGCAATTCATTAAAATCTTTATTTACAAATTCTAAGCCATTATCGGTGCGTAAACGGATAATATGTTAGCATGAATTTTTGGAGCATGCAAAACATTTTGCAGCTTAAACGTTGTATTTTGTGTAGTTATGCGAATATCACCAATCCCTTCTACACTCACATGATGCTAAAATTATATTTTACATTGATCGAGTTATATTTAAAAAATGTTCGCTGTTGTTGCTTATATGTGTAGAAGCTCCGCTATCCAAATCCAACTTGAAAGTTGTGGTTTTTGTTGGTTATTTACTAAACTTAGCGCAACAGGTTCTTTGTTATTATTTTTAAAAAAACAATCAGCTTGAATATGGCCTCTCTTTCCGCACTTGTAGAATTTTACCTTATTTTTTTGTTTAACATCACGAGTGAAATATTTATTAGAATTCGCAGTAAATACTCTATCGCCAGTATCTTGATCGCTCCTTCTTATTTCCTCTTCTAACAATCTCGCCTTTAAATTATCCAAGTCCGGCAATTTATCTCTGCTTTCTATTGCAACTGCAAAGTTTTCCATATTGCTTGGAAGACTGCATAATAGTAAGATAGATAGTAATTCCTTTTCAAGATGAACACCTATCGCTGTTAATGAATCCGCAATGTTACAAAATTCATTTAACTGCGGTAAATATTTTGCCGAGCTGCTGAAGTTAAATTTGAATAGTCTTTTTAATAAGGAGACTTTTCTTGCGGCTCCACTCGCATTATACATGTTTCGTAAGGCCTTCCATGCCTCAAATGCCGTTTTACAGTTTTTTATGTGTAACAGTTCTGAACTTTGTATACTTAAATTGATATAAGCAAGAGCTTAGCGTCATTTCTTTCCCAGTCTTTAACACTGTTATCTTTTGGTGTACTTGTTACATCCCATAAATCCTGCCTTATTAATAAGTTCCTCATTTGAATGGACAATGGACCATTATTGTTCCCTTTTAAGCTTCTCTACTGCCATGTGTTTCATTATTGATTTTAGTATTATCAATTCACTTTACCAATCACCTTTCTAATAGTGTTTACAATGATCAATGCATGTTATTCAAGTTTAACTAATTACATTCTCAATTCTAGATAAAATAAACGCGTTTACAATGATCCATATATGTGGTTCAAGTTTATTTAACTACATTTTTAATTATATAGAAGTAATATTGATATAAAATAAATAGTGTTTATAGTGATCAATATATATTATTCAAGTTTATTTAATTACATATCAAATTATATAGAAATAATATTTATATAAAATAAGTAGCGTTTACAGTGATCGATATATGCTATTCAAGTTTAACTAATTACATTCCAACTTTTATATAAAATAAATAGTGTTTACAATGATCAATATATGTTATTCAAGTTTAACTAATTACATTTCCAACTTTTGATAAAATAAATAGCGTCTACAATGATCCATATATGTGGTTCAGGTTTATTTAATTACATTTAAAATTATATAGAAGTAATATTGATATAAAATAAATAGTGTTTATAGTGATCAATATATGTTATTCAAGTTTATTCCAAAGTTTATATAAAATGAATAGTGTTTACAGGATAAAATATTTATAGAGCATAATTTTATACGTAGCTTATCACAGCATTTTCAACTAACGCGGATTAAACTGTCGGCGCAGGAATATGGATTTGTCACTATGATTCCCCAGCGCACGGAATTTATTGCAGCACACGTTGTTTATTTAATTTCACAAGGTTTTATTTCATATCTATGCGTCTCTCGCATAACACACAACATACTTAGTGTTTTTTAGAAAGAAAAATATATACTTATACAAGCTTACCAGTATTTCGTTTCTTTTGCCTAGTTACCCAATTACTTCTTAGTGTAGAAACCTTGGTACTTCATCTTCTTCTCGGATCCACACCAAAGCCACGTGCCAGATATTACCTTTAACCGAGATTTTAGAACCTCGCCTCTGAAGATATGTCTTGTCATTTGAAGGTTTTTAAGAGTGCTTACGTTTCCTCTAAATGTTGACCATATTGTATGAAGATCTGTAGAAAGTGGTTCATCCCAAAATAATTTCAACTGCCATATGTGTTGTATGAAAATCTTCGCCTTCACTATTACTGGAGCTAATAAACCAAATGGATCGAGCAGTTTTGCTAAATCAGAACTTACGACTCTCTCCGTGATTATCCCTTCAGTAACCATTTTGACCTTTATGATCTTTATTAAATAAGTACTTAACGACTAAATTTACATGTGTTCACTTACTACTAGATGAGGTGAATATTTACAATAATAACGTTTCCTTATAAGTATTTTTAGATTAAGGTGATTGTATTTTTTTTCTTATTATTGTTAATAGTTATAATCATTAACAAAAAAAATAAAAAAAAATTACAATATTTTTTTTATATATAAATAATTAAATAAGATTTTTATTCTATACTAGAAAATAAATAAAAAAAATCGCAATTTATTTTTTTTTTATATAAATAATTCAATAAGTTTTTTTTTTTTATTTTATACTGTATAAAAAAATAATAAAAATATTTACAATATTTTTTTTATATTATATTTTGTTATATTTAACAAAAGTCATGTTTTTACAAATCTCAAGTCTATAATAATAACTAAAAAACTCGAGATTAACAATAAAAAAAAATAATAATGAAAATAAAAAAAATGTAAGTAATGTGAACCAAAAAATTAAGTAGACGAAAAGAAAGCAAATTACAAAGGCAAAATGCCTGTTAAACCAGCAAAATAAAAATAAAAGAGAACAATACCGATGGAAAAAAAATAAAAAATGAGGAAACATATAAATTTAATTAGATAACATTTTCTCTTGCAAGTTTATTAGCTTTAGTCGCTTACCTTACAGCCGCAGAAATGACGTCACTTATGTTGCTGTTGACCTAGCTGAAACTTTCAAATAATAATGGAAAGAAAAAAATATATATGTAGGGTGAAACAAATTTATGTGTTTTCTACCCTCTCTTAAATGTTTAAGATCGAGTGTTAAAGAGTTAGTTTCTTCTAAGACTACAAGTTTATGGGTACCAATAGTTGAACGAGAGACCGGTTCCAACTTTGGTTTTTTTCTTCATTGTTGTTATTATTAATTCTGCTTTTACTGGAAGAATTGATGGAAGATGGTGTACTTGTAGAACGTAAGCTCGAATCAGAGAATGAGTTTATATTTTTGTTATTGCTATTTATGGTGTCTTTTCATTGCACTTTTGAAGTTGATGCTTTAACTGGATAGCTTGTAAAGAGAGTTGCAGTAATTGTATTATTTGAAAGGTTAGTAGGTTGCGGTGTCTTATTGATGCCATATGAAACCACTGAAGAGAAACTGTTGCTGGATATGTCGACTGAAGGTAGTGCCTTATATAGTTTTTCTGCTTCCCGCACTGTACATTTATTTTTTTTATTGATTTTTAAAATCTCTTTTTGTTGAATAAATTTTGTGCACTCTTTAGAAGAAGCTGGCTGCTGTTCTGAACAATTAGCACAATATGTACGCGAACAGTCAAAAGGGGCATGAGGAGGCAAACCACAATTTCCACAACCTGGAGCGTTTCGGCATCTTTTGGCAGTATGACCAAGAACCTGACACGATTTGCAGCGCATTGGGTTTGGTACATACTAACGCACATCAACGGAACTCCAAGAGATTTCAATTTTTTCGGGCAAATTAAATGTGTTAAAAGGTAGCAAAACCACTCCGCTTGGATGGGACTGGCCTTCGATCATTTTAAGGAACTTGTAGCGCCCAACAAGCGCGTATACAGTTCCTGTTGTTGTGTTCAATTGCTTATGAAGAAAACATTTGATTAGACAAATCATTAAGAGATATTTAGCTGATATAAACTTTTGAGCAGTAGCCATATCTTTGACTAGCAACAACAGGTTACCATCTCTTAGTTCAGAAATCGATATAATGTGTAGAGCTTTTTGCACTGCAAAACAAGAGAACTCAGACAAAGGTTTTAGATCGTTGGTAGAGGCAACAACAACATATTTTGGATTAGGTAGTTGAATTGTTAAAAGCCCGGAAAAGTCTGTAACTGTTTTAGCATTCGGTCGATTTTTCTTCGATTGTGGACCATCTGTCAAGAGTGCAGATCTACTTCCCTCTATGTGGGGAGGACCAGGGGTCATGTTTGTAAAACGCACTACGTCTTATTTATGCAACTACCAATTTAATACAGATATGTAATAATACGTGTAAAGTATAAAAAGCTTAAGCGCGAGTTGAAAGAAAAAAATGTAATAAATAAGAAAAAATATAAGAAAAAAAAAATCGTAAAGAAGAGAGAGCACATAAAAAACAAGTCTGATCACTATGAGTACAAGTTAAAGACTGAAAAAAAATTGAAATGGTCTTTTTCTCTTTAACGATGTGTTATGTGCAAATTTTAGCAATTTTTATATTTTTTTCATATATTTTCATGAAATTTCAAAAAAAAAATAATAACTTAATTATATATTTTTTTTTATTAATAAATTTAGGAAAAATTACCCAAATCTGATCTTTATTATATTAACGTAAATTACTTTTATGGATTTTGCGTCCTTCTATTTGCACGGTTGTATATAGGTCTTGTTCCACTATTTTTTCTGTGAAAATTTGATTAAATTTGTTCCCTATCCTTTTATTGCGTCTCAAATAGACTTTTTCACCTGTTTCATATTTTTTGGTTAATCTGTTTGCGTTAACTCTATTAAGAGATTTTTCTTGTGTTTTAATAAGATTATAATGATATAAATATTATATTATACATTATTAAATTGTATGGCAGGATTGCCATATAATGATAATATAATAAAAAAAATGTTTTTTTCTTTTATTATATTATTTAAAATTTAATTCCTGGATTGCTTCAGGATCACAATTCTTTACGAAGTTATTAAATTTCTACTTATTAGAATTAGCAGGAAGAAATCTGCTCATTAGTAGGCATCCGAGAATGCCGAGACAAAAAAAAAAATGAGATTTTGTGTAAGCTGCTTGAGCTCAATTTCAAATCTGAATTTTATTAACAATTTTCCAAACTATTTATACAAAATATTTAACTATAATTTACAAATATTTTTCCTAATAATAATTCCTAATTGCTGCGGCATTCAAAAGGTTGACCCACGTCAATGCTTAGAAAATATTATGACATATTCAAGTGTGTCATATTG